GGCATCAAATCTGGTAACCTCGGATATAACCTTTAAATAATTCATCTACGTGTACCATTCTTAGATGTATGTATTCATACTCTGGGAACTGAAGTCTGACGCGCAAAATGAAGTATGAGGTTCACTACTACAAACCAATATTTATCCAGGAGGTAATAGTTACAGTAAAAGACACATTTCCCCTGTTTAAGCAAATGATACTATGAGAGTAGTAACTGTAAGATTTTAAAACATATTTTTTTTGCCAAAAAAAGGAAAAACCCAGCAAATTTAGGATGGTTTTGAATAAGTAAGATTTGTAGAGAGTATGTGAAGAGGGAAGTTGCTGTTAAAGTCTTTCTCTAAGATTTGGGCTACTTGTGCTAGATGCAAACAGATAAAATCAGCACCAAATAATTGCTGAGATCACACTGAGGTATTTTTGGCATGATTGTCTTGTTTCCAGTACTTCATTGACCAAATTACAGGTGCTACTGAAATGTGTCATTTGTAAGGAAAAAAACTGGCTATTCAAGACAAAATCTTGACTGCAGTCATATAAGCCCTGGGATTACGGAAGCGAGCAAGTCTTGGGGCTCAATTACATCTTCACTTAGTGTGTTGCAGCTGCAGTGAATAGAAAACTTGGGCATTAGACTCTGATGTGTGCAAAGGTAATGCAACTCTGATCTGACTTCCAAAATTAGTTTTAGAAAATTATTAAAAAATGTGCTTGTTACTGCCTAGAGAAAAAAAAAATAGTTTGAAGGAAGGAAGTAACTTCAAGAGTTTTAATATAATTCAAAGATAGGACAACCAAATCACCAAGGTGTCCTTTAGAAGCTGTGGAGAGTGGTTAGAACAATTAGAGCACCATGAGCAAGGATGAGCAGAGAGCTTGTGAAGAACTGGGTGCTTGGGCACTTGGAAGTTTCCATACTTTCTCTGACTGTTCAAATATATGTGCCTTCACAAAAGACACCTTCACGGAGCGAACCACTTTTTTTTTTCCATTATGTGATACTAAAAAGTGCTACAAAAGGCACAGAACTGGATGGATGGATCAAAGTTCTTATTTTAACATAGAATTTTAGTTCATTAAATATAGCAAGAAGACACAAGGGAAATTGTTGATATTCACCATTCAAAGCCACGTATGATGCCAAGAACTGAGAAGTGATTAGGCTGCTGGAAAGAAAGAAGACTAATTATATAAAAATCATAAAGTCATCCTGTTTCCAGACATTAGTTTGGCAATGAAAGCCAAAAGAGCTGAACCCTAGCAAGCAGTATTTTATAAAAAAACAGGAACTGCAGTTGATACCACTGCTCCCAGTGCCCCCAGCAGATGTGAGTATTGCTTAAGCACACTAAATTCAGGAGTGGAACCATGCCAAGAATGCTATCAACAAGCAGTACCTAGCAGGATTCAAAGGATGTCACCCACAAAACAACATGGGAATTTTATTTCTGGGAATTACTTGATTCTGGGGAGCTTATTTTTGTTTCAGATCTTGGGATGATGGATCTACTAGAAACACGCCATTAGAAGACAACCGCATTTCCCCTCCATTATTATATCAGCATACTACCACCTCTGAATGCTTCGGTCTGGGGAAATCTCAATGCAAACAAGTGTTTAAATGTCTTTTTCTGAATCACATATGCTTCACAAAATATGTTAATGCTCGAGTATAACTGTATTGGATTACTAAGAGTTGGAATGTCATTAGTGAAGGTCAGAACAATATTTGAACTCTCCATTTATAGAACTTGAACTCAATTTTTCTCTACAGAGACACTATAGGATTATATCTCTTCAGAAATACCCGTGTGAAATTTCTCCTAAACCATAATTGTTTTATTGACTTAATAAAAGTAGGAAATGTATTTGAAATGGAAAGAGACTGGATTTTAAAAAATATATTTATCATTAACATTCTTAACAAGATAAACCAGACCATTCGGCAACACCTAATTTTATATTATTTAAAGGCATTTTCCTCCCTCTTGACTGTTCCTATCAATAGCAGGCTGCCATCTACAGAGATAAATAAATTGGCACTACTTAAAACTCAGTATACTACACAGCTTTGATGGAGTACTGCAGACATGAAGTAGATTTTATGATTTACATAATATAATTGTGTTGATTATCAAACTATTATCAATCATGGCAACCTATGAAGTACATTGTTTGTCTCTACAAAGTAATCTGTAAGAAAAAAAGTTGGCTTCTAAATCACTAGCTGTCTCAACCAGGCTAACTCCATGCTTCAAGTAGGTCCAGTAAGTCCACGTAAACGGCTGCTAGACTGTGGGTGAAATTTGCTACAGCAAATTCAAATGTCATCCCTGTTACAACACAACACAATTTTAAAAAGTCCAACAACTAAACAGTGGCATTAGCATGTTTTTTGTGGTTCATAAAGCACCTCATATTCTACTAGTACCTAATATTCTACTGCATAGGAGGAAATTCAGAAACAAATTGTAAATAAAGCCTTGGACAGAAAACCTAGGACAGAACTAGTTTGCCTGCACTTTAGCAAAGGATCTGCACAAAGCCTTGAAAGCTTCTAGGTTGGCCTCTTTTTTCAGATTTCTCAAGGTTTTTCGCACTAGAAAAAGAATGAAATGTTGATACAAAACACTTTGCGTTTTGCAGCATATTAATATACCGATTTTCTCAAGCAGAGAAAGGAGGAGGGAGTCTTACTGTGGAGGAACAGCAAATGTCCTGGGAATAACGTGAAACGTCAACATAGCATTTTTGCAATTCAAAGATGTCTTTGACTTTCATAAGCAGGCATGACGGTAAAATTGAGGCTGTTAAAAATACACGGTTTACTTGGGTAGTTTATAATTCACAGCGGCATTTAGTGGGTGGAGCTGTAAATTAGTAAGTGGACTGCTGCCACAGCCGAGCAAGCTGCCGCTCTGCAAAAGAGAAACTGTGCTAAGAATAGGAACGTGGTCACGGTGATAATGAACAAGGGCTCGGCCTGAGACGTTGGTGGGAGATCTGGAGATGGTTGTTGAATGCGCAACAGCTACTCTAGAAATTAAATGTTATTGAAGATTTTTTTGAAAGATTGAACTGGATGAAAAGCACGTGAAGCTTAACCAATGAGATCTAGTTTCAATTTTTAGTAGTGCCACTGAAAGGAAGAGTGGCATATGAAATATTTATGTTGCTGATAAACTGGAAGGCAGTTTTACAGCCAACAAAATGCCGTTTATTCTGCCATAAAAGGGAGGCAAGATGGCAGCAGACTCTCTACACATAAAAAAGTCTTCTCCCTTTCACTTTGAAATGAAGTAGATTAATCTGCCATAAAAGTATTACAATACATTAATTAGGTATTTGATCCTATCTGTCACTCAAACAAAAATGGCCTGTTTATAAGTCAGTATTATTATTATTAAATATTATTATTATTAAACAGTATTATTATTACTATCATCACTTCAAATGACACAGGAAGAAAAAAATAAAGAAAAAAAATCTAATTTCCTGAATAGCAGGAGACAGGCTGAAATCAAGTTACTGTATATCTTTGTATTATTTATCAATGAAAAGAATATCATTTTCCTTTTTGACCTTTTAAAAACCAGTCATGGACTGGATTCAACACTTTATTTCTGGGTGCTTTCCTTCATGCACGAGGACTTTCAAAAACATTTTGACATTCTATGATAGCACAAGCAGAACTAAATGAATAAAAATATGGTTGCAAGTGTGTTTAATGCAAAATAAACCCCAAATCTAAGAGAAGTATTAGTATATCATATATAATAAATGATAATTCCATTTTTAAAAAAGTGCACATAAGCAAATCATGTTAGGATGGATAAGCACTTACAAAAACACCCAAACACACCAACATTCTACGCACTATAACTAACAAAAAACCATGCTGTTTAACAAACAGGTGTAGTCCGTGCATGAACTGACTTAATGTTTTCAGTCAAAAATATATGTATTATTTAAATACACATTCTAAATGACATATATTTATCTGAATGTACTATGTTTCAAATAACTTATCACAGTATATATCTTTAAAAGCAACTACTTTCTCAGTCGGAATTGTTCTTTTTATTAGCCCTGTGTCAGCCGAATATTTAGCCCGAAGCGTGAGCCACTCACTCAGGGAGCAGCAGCTCTTGTACTCAGACACAGACAAATTCTTAAATACCCTGCTGGCGCCGTGTCCCTGGGAACGGGTCTATCAACACATTCAGAGCTTAAACTGTATCTGTACCTAAATTACACATACAAGTAGGGAAGTACAACATTACTGTAGCATAGGCCTGATCATAACGGGATACAGGAAAAAAAGGCTGGATGGGACAGCCTTGTGGTGGCAACTGCCTCATGCACTGCAGTAGCATAAGGTACAGAGAAAAGAGAGGAAGGAAACCCAGTGCTCTCTAATTTCTGATTGTCTTCATAAGGTAGATATCATTACCTCGTGAGTAACTAGATTTCAACAGTAACAGAAGTACAATGACTGATAAAAATTATGTCATTATTAATAATTAAAATATACACATTACTGTGCAACCAGTCCATGGGTGTTGTCTTCCCCTACACAAACTGAAAGGCAATCCGTGATCACCTGCACTTACCATGGGCTTTCAAAGGATGCATATAAATCCGTATCACCTAGCACGTGGTAAATTCACAGACTGCTTTACAACTTTGTGTGCATACCCCACACTCACACACCTGCCACTACTGTCACGCAGTCTGCCTTGTCCCTTCTGTTCCATGAATAACACGACTCTTTAAACCAGTGATATCAGGTAAATTTTCCATATGTGACCAGCCAGTAGGATATACAGTAGTGATTGCCCTGCTTTTCCCTGCCCACAACAGAAGATTTCCTACAGAAGAACTAACATTATAGTATTCAGTCCGGTAAAATACTACAAGGCCTCAACAGCCTTGCCTCCAACAGGAGTTAGAGTCAAATCTTAATCTATTTAATAATAAAAAGAAATTTCAAAATAATTCAGCCAAACATTGTTATGTATGAAGCTTTCAAAAACTGCACATAATTCTGGATGCTCTGGTTCTTGTTCTCTGACCTCTGTAGGCTGTTTTCCAGCTCTTTCAAACATACTTCATGGTGCTTTTCATCCTAAAGAAAAACGAGAAATAAAGCACAACTTAGAAGTAAAATTAAAATGAAAACACTAACGTAAGACAACTAGTACCTCAATTTTATAAGCCTTACCCGTAAAAGATTGCAGAGGCTCCACAAAACTGAAGGTTCCCAAAAAGTCCTCAAAAAAGCTTTATTTATGTTCAGTCAGGACCAAACTGAACATGGTTGAATACGCTTATAATAAGAAGAAAATGAAAGACTGGGAATGTAAAAAATTAACCTTCTGAATTTTTATCATGAAAGATTCCTAGCATCTTACAATCTTTACAGACTTTACACTCTCCCTCATGTTCATTTTTCAAGGAAACATCTGCTATTGATCTGTGGTGCAACATGACTTTTTATGTCTATAGTTCCTTATATGAAAAAGAGGATTGATAGCAATAACATCTGCTCATTAGTTCCATACCTGATGCACACCACAGGTAATTTGTTATGCATCTACTACAGATATCCAGGTATTTCCTTTCATGTCTGTTACAGATTTCAGATGCTAGTTGGTTAATATAAATTCTGTTTATTAAATGGAATTATTGTCGCCAGATTTAAATCCAGACACAGACAAAAATAAACAAATTAGAATGAATAATTGAACAAAGTTACCTTCACAGTCCTATTTTGTTTCCAGTTTCACAACAACAGAAATAAGAACATCTTACTATTTTCCATAACACATTGTCAGCTATATGTAAATGTATTTGAATAAAAAGCCATTAAATAATTTAGAACAGTTCTTCTCTCAGACATATGTATCTTTCACATTTATATTTTAACTGCAAGCTTCAAATAGAAATAATTTGAAAACATACCTGTCAATTTTGCCTTATTTTATTTTCTTTTAACATAGGAAGAAATTCCTATGAAAAAAACATTTTCAGTAGAATAAAACACTAGCCAATATCTAATTTTGTATAAGAACACCTTTGTTTTATGGTAAATGCAGACATTAATTTACACTTGCTATAGACAGAAACTAATTGAAGTATACTGAAATCAGAACCATATCTCTGATGCCTTACATAAACCTTGAATAGAGTTTGCATTTAAGTTGGTTTGATTTTTATCTTGAATGCTTCAAGTCAGAACAAAGAACACTATTTCTGAAAGTCTAGGTGACTGATCCTGGGCATTTAAAGGCTTAACACTGAAAAATCAGAGTATTAGTTTTGTTACTAACTACTTATATATATAATAATGGTATATAAGCTGAAAGCTTGTCATAAATTACAGTAAGATTAGATTCTTGTAATCAACTCAGGGAAGGAAAAGAAAAAAGAGTGATACCACTACATGATTATGGATTCAGTTAGACTGAACACCTGCTAAGTCCATTAGAAATGTCAATATACAAAGTGTACTTTCAAGTAAAATTAATTTGCTATTCCCAAAAGTGTGTATCAATTGTACTAGCAGTATGTTTTTTGCTAAAAGGAACTTTTACTGTAAACGGTAACGTGGCAAGTAATTTCTTAAGTCATAAATAGTATTACTTACTCACATGGTGAAATATGCAGAGGAGTTGTTTTTTCTTTTTTTGCCCCTCTCTCACTTCAGTTTCAAGAATGAGCATTTTTGCCTGAAGGACTTGTTCTCTGTATGACATTTTTTCCAGTTCTTCAGCTACCTATAATAGTAATGAGAGAGAAATGATGTACATTTACTTTCACTTAAAGCCCAAACCAAATTCTTTTCTTATACCTTAGCATTAACAGCTCTATTTCGTATTTCATCGTCTAATACTTTAGTTCTTTCCCATGCACTGAAATTAAAGGTATCTGGGAAATATTCTGGCTAAATTTGAAAGTTTCAATATGGGAAAAAAAAACTGGGAGGGAGACACTTTTGTAACTCATTTGTAAATTAAGCCAAAATAGTTATTTTCTACAAATCCAAATAAATATCTTCAGACAGTATTGAGAAAATTCAGATAGTTTATTTCAACATGATTAATCTGTGATAAACTTACAACTTCATTGTTCTGGGTTTAGCTAAAAACCTAGTCCTGTTTAGTGATTTTTACTTTTCAGTTTTAGTTCCTTCTAAAAGGCTGCACTTTCTGAAGTCAGCAGCATGTTTTTGCAGACAGTGCCTGCTACTGGCAGTGATAACACCTGATGTTTACAGTTACTGCCTGGGACTGGGATGCAGACAGGCTCTTGCTGATACTTATTCCTACAGTGACCAAGGCCACTGCTGGCTCTTGTGTGCCACGCTGGGGGTGCCGGGTAGTAAAGGGGGGTCA